GTTTTTGCAGTGTAAGAGTTGCAGATTACAGGATAGTTTTTTTCTGAAACCAAATTGTTTATTGGAGAGTAGGTTGTTTGTCTCTAAGTGGAGGATGATGGATTGGTTAATAATTGATTCCATGACTTTACAGGTGACGCAGCATAAGGAGATTGGTCTGTAATTTTCAACTAGGCAAGGGTCTCCCTTTTTGAAGATGGGGATGACTGTGGCTTGTGACCATAGGTTAGGCAAGGAACTGGTCCTGAAAGATTTTTCAAAGATTATGCTTAGAGGTTTGGCTATGGCAGTGGATAGCTTTTTTAAGAAATAGGCACATATTCCATCCGGTCCAATAGATAGAGATGGTTTTAGATTGCGTAGTGCTTTTTCAACATTGTCTTCTGTAAAATCGATATGTATTAGATCATTGTAGTTATCTGTGGTTCGGCTAGGAAATACTGGGCATGATCCATTGCTGTTTACAAATACTGAGCCAAAAAATGTGTTAAAGATGTTGGCTTTAATGGTGTCGTCGTTGCAGTCTTTACCATTAGGTCCTATCAGGGGTGGGATGGACCTTGAATCTTTTAGTTTGTTGTTTACAAAATTGTAAAAAGCACTGGTGGAATTGGTGCTTAGAAGGTTTTCCTCTTGTTTAATGTAATAATTGGTGCATTCGGTCTTTATTTGGTGGCATAAATTTTTGTATCGGCTTTTGAAATTGGTAACGTGACCAGATTTGTTTTTCCGCCAGAGTGATCTCTTTTTGGATTGAAGTTTCCTTATTGTTATGGGCAATCTGTTTTTTTGTTTTGTTTTGGGAGTTGTTGTTGGTACATATAGTTTGATGACTCTTTTGACTTCAAGTAAAAATATGTTGTAATGGTCTTCAACAGTGTTGCATCCAGTGAATAGAGATTGCCAATCAAGGGATGAGAGATCGTTGTTTATAAGATCATAGTTGACTTTTTTGAAATTATAATTGGGGATCACATCATTGTGGTGGTTTTTGTGTGGACGTATGTTGAGACAAAAGTCAATCATATTGTGGTCACTGCTGGAAAAGGGTTCTTTAGTTTGTATTCCGTAAATTAAATTCAAACTATTGCAGAAGATGAGATCGAGGCAGTTGTTTAGTCTAGTGTTGTTGGTTACTAGTTGTTCCAGTCCCAGATTTGTAACAGCATTGTAAAAGGTTGCATGTATGGTTTCAGTTGTACATTCATTTCGGGTCCAGTCAATATGAGGCAGATTGAAATCACCAAGAAAGATAAAAGGGTATGGGCAGGATGCTGCCCATGTTAGTAGTGTATTTAGCTTGTTTACATGTTCGATGTCATAATCAGGTGCTCTGTAACATAGTAAGAATCGAATTGTGATATTTAAGGATAGTTCACAGATAATGGTCTCAGGTAATATGATATTCAATATCATATTCTCAGGAGATTGGCTTCCTTTAAACAATTTATCACTTTTTCTTCTGTTGCATAATCATCTTCTTTATATAGACCCTCATAAAACTTCTGGGCTATATTCCTTTTCATTTCCTCTTAATGGCATATTTCCCCCTATTCATTTTGTTTTTTGTTTTTAATTTTTATTCTTTAAAAACAAAAAATACAAAAATCTCATTTCCATTAACAGTTACTGTGTCATTGTATATACATGTTTCTTATTTTGTGACTATACATTATTTTTATCCTTATACTTCACCCATTCATACCCCCTGTTCATTTTGTAGCTTAGTGATCCATCTTTTTTCCACTTGCCTTTTCAATTTCCAGGCTAGCCATCTTCCTGGTTTATTGGCGTTCTCAAATACATTTTGTTTTATCCTTTTCATTTTTGGGGCTAAATCTTCCTTTTCTAACAAATTTATTTCATGTTTCATTAAATCCATTGGTAGTTTTATCTCTTTCTGTTTTGGTTCTTCTTACAACTTTATCTCCAAGTTTCTATATTCCTTTTCTAATGCTTTTCGTTGTAGTTTCTTTTTCTATTTTTATTCGCCATATAATTTATCATCACTCCTCTCATAAATGCTTTGGCCGTGTCCCAGGTGTTTTGTACGGATGTATCTTCTTTGTTCTCCTTAAAGAAGAGTTTCATTTTTAAATTTAAATTTTAAATTTAAAGTTTAGTTTTAAATTCCTCTTCCTTCAGGATTGTTCTTTGTAGAGTCCATCTTAAGGTCTTGGCTTGGCCTTTCCAACTAAACTTGATATAGTTATGGTCTGCCCACAAGCTCAGTTCAATTTCTATTTCAATTATTTCTGAGATAAGTTCCTTCGGCGTCCATACCATATCTTATTTCGACCAGGACAGATGTCTATTCGATAAAACGTAAATTGTTTTTTACTTGGGTGATGTTCTCTCCATGCATCATAGATCTTAGCCTCCTTTGCCAAGTCATGGAAATTTTTCAGTAGTACCCCTTTCCTTGTTATTTTCTTATTTTCACCTTTATAATCCATTGTTTTATCAATAATTGCATTAAAATCACCTAAGATACAGATCTCTTCATATTGTATTTCCTTGATATTATTATACAACTTTTGAAAGAAGTGTTCTTGTGGGCCACTCAGAGAATAGATAGATTTCTATCAAAAGAATCTTTTTATTTTCTAATTCTATCTCTACCATCATTATCCTACCATCTTTAAAAAATTATTTAGCCGAGATCCAGTCTTTTATGTATAACACTACCCTTCTTTTCTTTTGCTTATCTAATGACATAAAAACATTTCCTAGTTTTTTGTTATCTAGCAGATATGTTTGCTTCTCTTCTATATTTACCTCTTGTATGGCTATTATATCTGCATTCAATTTTTGTAGATTGTGAAATATTTTTTTCTTTTTGCTGGAGAGTTTAAGCCATTAATATTCATTGAAATTACCTCACATTTCTCTCTTTTTTATGTTTCTTTGTCTCGTGCTCCTTATTGTTCTCATTTCCCTAGGTTCTGCATCTTGTCTTTCATATATTTCTGCCTTTCTTCTTCTATATCTTCTCTCATTATTATCTGGTGAGTTTTCTTCCTTATTTGCTGCCTCTGCTCCTTTTTCTTCTGCCGAATCTCTCCTTTCTCCCACTTCTTCCACTGTTGCCTCTTCTTCATTAGAAAATTGATCATAAAAATCTTCCACCTTTTCAAGTGTGTCTAATCAATATCTTTTCTCTTGCCAGTTGACCATAATTCTCTCCAGCATCAACCATCTAAAACTGATATTGTATTTTATGAGCTTCGCTGTCAGAAAGTGGTAAGGTCTTCTCAAGTCCCTTACTCTTCTCAGTACCTGTTTAAGGACAATTATCTGCTTTCCACTGTACTCTATTGGGTTGTCTCTCGTTCTGTGCAATATTTCATCATGAGTCGACTTCTTGATCAATCAGACATGAACTTCTCTAGGAAGATTATGCCTTCTTGCATAATTCATCTACACTCTGTATGTCTCATCTAATTCCATCACATTTTCTTCTTTTTCAGTTCCTAGTATTTTTGCAATTATCTCAACCATTTCCTCCTGCAGATCTTCCTCTTTTTCCTCCTTGATATTTTGGAATCTCAGGTAGTGGGCTGCTTTTTATGCTTCCAAAAGAATTACTGTAGATTCCAGATCTTTATTTGCTTGTATCAACTTATCAGTCAGGTCTTCCACTTTTTTTCTCCTCTTTGTCCATTCTAGATTCTATTTCTGCTATTCTTTCTTGATTTTTCCACATCTCTTGTTGGTAGCTTTTAAATTTTTCATTTTTTCTTTTAACTCAGATCTTACTGATCCTATCTCTGTCTTCAAGTCTTCATGGTTTTGGGATAACATTTCCTGCATATTCAACATTAATCCTTGTAGATCTTTTATTGAGTTTGATCTCTCCCTTGGTAACATTTTGTCAATGGCTCTCTGTGTGGAGGGACTTGCTGATGCTGCCATTGTCAATGTTTGAGTGGGTATTTTTTTTTCCAACTCCCAGTTTAGGTATGTTTGTATTACTTGTCATACTAAATATCTTTATAATAATATTATTTTTCAACCACCTCTTGCAATTTTTCTCTTCTCTTTCAAATCCCTCCAGGTCAGCTAATAGCTATATCAACTATCTAAATATTTATGGTAATAATAAAGCCAATCTAGAGGTAGATCTAATCTAATATCTAGTGTTCTATAGTATCAGCAATATCAACAATCACTATATAATAATTAATTTTAACAGATATATTACTTAAAGTAGTCCCAATTAATCAAATCTTAAAGATAATAAATATATATATCTAATTAGTCTATGACATAGTATATAGTGTAACAATATATTTAAGTATATAATATTTTTTAAAAAAAACTTCCCTTTTGCTTTAGTTAATCAACTTAGCTACAAAGTATATAATATATGGTTTATATTTATATAACTATATCAATCTATATTATCCTATATATGCAGAGATTTGAAGATCAGCCAAATTTTATATTTACCTATATATGCAGTAATTTAAAAATCAGCAAGACAAACCAAAGGACTGAGGTTTTGACATAAAGAGAAGGGAAACCAAGTATCTTTTTTTTCTTGTTACAATTTTTCTTCAGCTCAATGGCCAGCTGGTGTTTCTCACGAAATGCTATAATGCCTCTTTATCAACTTCAAAACTGCTGACTCACTGTCTTTCTAATGTCCATTTTAGTTAGTTCCAAGTTTCTTTTTCCAAAAGGGTTCAAGATCATTCAAAAAAATGCATAAAGCAAGAATAAAAAATGTCCAATTTCCTTGCAATATTCAATCAAAGTTATCACTTCTCTCTCAGGTTTTTAAATCAAGTCAATTTTAATTCAAATCCCTTCCACTTTCTCTGTTTTATAACCCCCACAGGTCTCTCTCACATCAGCACTTTACATTTTCAAAAGACACCATTCTCCAAAATTAATGCAAAATTTCCGTCTTGCTTTAATTCCAGACACAGATCTAATCAATTAATTTTTTTACACCCGTATGCACCAATCTTGTCTCTTCTATTCACCATTTTTTTTATAGCTTTCCTATCTTTTTCCAATCTCTTTGTCCACCATTAAGTTCACCACTCCTTCTGTTTTTAACTGGGGCTGACTCTTAATGCCGGGTTTTCTCTATTCAGATCACTTTTGACGCCCCTTTTTGTTTTATTCACTTTACAGTTGTTAAGGCTGTCCATTCAGTATGCACCTTTGTTCTGCTGTTTCACCAATAATATGGCCAGCTGTCTATTTCTATGGATGGTCTGCCAATCGTCCTTCCTTCGCATGCTCGATCCAGGTTCTGTCCACTTTCCCACATGAACCGCCACCCGTGTAGGCTCTTCAGCTACACCTTCAGAAACCCTACAAACCTCCTTTTGGCCCCTGAAAGGTCCCACAAATGAAGTTTGGGAGATTGTGCTTCACAGAGTAAACTGCTCACACATCTTCTCCCCTAGACAGCTGGCTCCCCGCCAATAATCTCTGATTTATTAATCTTTATTGCTCTTGTCTCTTTCAGATTCTAATTTCCAGTTTTTTGTATTTAGCTGGAAATTATTTCAATCAAACTAAGGACATATGAAAACAGTATATTTCTTTTTTGTCTAGCAGAATATTTAAATGAATCTGATTTTTAAGGTTCCATGCAAATTGCTGCCCTCAGTATTCCTCTTACCATGTCTCAAGAATGGGATAAGCAGAGTTGGACTTCCTGTTTGCCTGCCTTCGGTGACAGCAGGGATTCACATTTCTCCGCGATCCCTGCTGTGCTAGCCATCTTGGTGCCTCCGATCCTGACGGATTTGGAGGATAAGGCTGCCCTGTTGGGGTAGCTGAAGATAGGGGGGATCCGGATAGGGGTTGAGGGGTATCGCAGACCCCCTCCCCAGCCGGCAATAACCCCCTTTTCTCAAGGCGGTGGAGCAGCGGTCTCAATGGCCACCACGAAGAAGCCAGCAACCAGATTAAGAATGTGCAGGAGGAAGAAGAAGGAAGTTTTAAAATGAAAGTCTTCTTGGCTGAACCGGGACTTTAAGGATATATTTAATGCCTGGAAAATTATTATCTTTTTGGATGCTACAATGTCTCTAATGGAGGTTTTCAGCGGCGAAGGAAAATGTTGAAAGAGAAAGTTACTCTCCCTCCCTTATGGAATTAACAAATGGACGTGGAAAATCTGCTCTCTAACAGAAGGTAAAAATTTAAAGCCCTTTGTTACAAGTGGGAAGGAAGAGGCTTGGAAAAAAAAAAATCTTTTTCAAGACTTTGTTGGATGAGATGCTTTGAAAATAAAAAGATTAGAAGTAAACTGCAAAAAAGATTTAAAATACAGATTGGGGTTTTTTTCCCTAATTGACTTTACCCCAGAAAGAGAAACTGTAAAAGGAAGAAGTTTGTGCTTTGCCTGGACTGTTTGATGACTTTGGGACTTTGGGATTTCGGGAAATTGTTTTCAAGTTTGGAAATATTTAACTGGCTTAATAACAAGAAGAGGATACAGAAAAAGAAGAAGAAAAAGTTTATAATGGCTCTACCTCTCGATGAACTAAAAAAAACAATATCTAAAAATAAGGAAAGAAGGCAAGGACGCTATGGGAGAAGCCCTTTGTTTTCTAGATATGGCTCTTGCTATGTGTCTGCAAATTAAACAACAGCTGGAAGAAGCGGAAGAAGAAGCCATTTTTAATGAATTAAATAGTGTGATTAAGAAAGAAAGGAGAAAGAGAGGAGGAAAAAGGAAGGACTTAAGACATAAAAAAAATCTATGAAAGAGAAAAATAAGATGCAAAAACAATATAATGCCAGAAAGCAAAAGGAAAGAAGAATGCAACAGAAAGGGGAAGCTAAGAAGGCAGAGGTTTGGACAGGAGTGGGTAAAAAGTCTAGGTGAGCCGAGAAAGAAAGGAAAAAAAGGGGGGGGGGAAGTTGTAAAGGTATAAAACAAGATGGGAAAAAGAAAAAAGTTTTTAGGGACAAAGGGTAACGTATGATTTTTTTTTAAAAAAAAAGGGGGGGGATTCTGCATAGTACACATGATAGTATTGTAGTAGCTGTATTTGTATCAAAAATAGAAAATTAGAACTTTATAAGATTTAATAAAAGATTTAAATATTAAGGCACAATGTTAAAATGTTTAATAATGAATGATTTTAAGTTTTAATAAAACATTAAAGGAAATGTTTAAAATATTAGTTTAATTATAGAGTTTAATGGGCTAATATGTTGATTATTATAGATTTATTACTGTAGTATTTGTTTTTGAAATAGTAGAACATACTAAGCAGAATCAGATTGGGTCTTAGGTGTTATTTCAACTTTCAATTTAGGGGAATGATAGAAAGGCATCATACTCTGATTAGTGATTTCAGGAGAAATTATTCTTTTTTATCTTGGGAATGAGATAGATGTAAATGGGAAAATGGACAAAAGATATAAAAATATTGCTTTAAAGCAAGATGAAATACATAAGTGGGGAGGAGTTAAATAGAAGATATAGAATGATAAATAAGATAGGTAATGGTATATAAGAAGAGCATGTGTTTAATTGAAGTCCATACAAAAAGAGGTAATCTGGGGCCAAGTTACTTTCTACAAGGAAGTTTTAGGTTTTTTGTGTTTTATATGTGTGTGTTTAATTGAGAATTATTAAAATCTCAGAGGAAGGCCAGATGAGAATAACTGTAAACAAGCCAGAGGAAAATATAAATGTGATGATTGAATAGCAGATAAATTAGAAAAGAAAGGTAATTGAATAAGAGTAAAGAGAAATAATGTGAAATTTGTTAAAGGGAATTTACGTGTTTATATGGAAATGGGATAAATTAGAAGAATGTGATATAAAATAATGTGTTACCTGCCTTGTAAAGATTTATAATGGAAAGAGGTTTTATGTTTTTAATGTTTAATGATGTTTTGTTTTGTGTCTTTGTTGTTAAAATCAATAAAATTTGCTTAAAAAAAAAGAATGGGATAAGCAGAGTTGTTGCCTCACACAAGAGGAGATGGTGGCCATTGTTGTTTTTGTGAGGGCAGCAGGAGTATTCTTCAGCAAACCTGGACATAATGGCCAATGCAGCTAAGGAGACAGGAATAAGAAAAGGGAACGATCCATTGTTTACTGATAACATTAGTGACTTTTACCCTATCAATAGAAACCTAGTTTGTGGTCTTCCACAAGATTGATATTTCCCTGACCACCTCTTTATGCATACACATACAAAGACAACCACAATTAACCACTTTTACTAACAAATAACTCATACTAAACAAAACATAATTTGTTAGTGTTGTGACCTCCAATTTTGATCCTAACCTTCATCTGTTCCAATCTTGGTATAACATAAATTATAAATCAAATTATATATTTCTTTATACCCTCTAATCTTGATATATTCCACATTTTGGAATGATTTATACAAATATTGCTATAATCAGTAAAGCAAGGTTCCATTTTACATTATCTTGCTGTCTCTGTTATCTATGTAATGTGAGTTACTTGATTGCAAGTCCTTTGCCTCTTTTCTGAACATTTAAAAAATATTTCCATCTATTTTTCCTCTGTTTTTTGACAGCTCTGGCTGAAATAAATTTCATTGTTGTTTTGATGGAAGTCTATGTTTAGTGCAGACAAGCATAGGCAGGCAAGCAAGAGTTTAATAGTTTATCCTGTATAAACTGTCTTGGACAGATGTAATTAAATTATAACATCACAAACAAGCCTAGAAATTGTTTAGAAAACTTAAGTAGAACCAAGAATATGTTTGTTTCTTATTCCATGTATGCTTTTGGATACACTGGATAGAGTCAAACAGACATTTCAAGCTAGCTTTTGTAATGTTATTAAAATGTTTACATTCTAGTGGACATATCTGGAATTTTTCAAACTTCTCAAATACTCAAAGGTATTATATAGCTAATGTAAAGAGTGTCCTTTCACAAAATGTTTGCCATAGTCGGCATAATCATAAAACACCTTCTTCTCCAAAATAACAAGCTTGTAATGTTACATTTCATTTTTTCCTTTTCCCTTCTATCACTTTATACCAGGGGTTGCCAACCTTTTGGACCTCAGGGACCACCAAACTCATAATTTTAAATCCCGTGGACCACTAATATGAATTTTGACTGATGGTGGCTTGCTGACATTGGGGGGAAAGTCGGTCCCATATTCCAGAGCTGCAGTAGTTACAGGACTGGCCCTTTGGTCATCCTGGAGCAGCTGCTCTTCCACCTGGGTGCACCGGCCTGCCATGGACTGGAGGAGCTGCTCTGGGATGACCAAAGGGCCAGTCTTGTGACTACTGCAGCTCTGGAATATGGGACTGGCCTGTAGTGGAGTTGGAAATCTCCGCCGGAGTGGGGTGGCATGTATAATATGCAAATTTGTGGATGGTGCAACATGCAAAAAGCAGTGCAGTCCTGGCTGGCCAGGACAAGGTAATGGTGCTGTTGTGGCAAGAGCGGGGCAGAGGCACAGGCCGGCTGAAGTGATGATGGAGATGGCTGGAAGATGTGTGTTCCGGACTAGCAGGCTTGAAAGCCTGCAACTCCGATTGGCCTGCGAATAGCAGATCGTGATTGGTCACCGCAGACTGATCCGATTGGCGAGTAAACGGGCTGCTGCGATTGGCCCAGCCAAGAGCGGCAAACTCAAATTGCCTTCATTGGTTGCCTAGCCGCAGCCAGCCCTATATAAGGGGCTGCTGCGGCTGGGATGCTTCGCTCAGATCTGAAGTCACTAATAAAGAGCTGTTGTTGTTATCTGAGTCTTGCCTCCATTCTTGAACCATCCTCCCAGATCTAACACTGGCGACGAGGATGGGATGTGGAGGCAACGAAGCCTATTGAACTCGAGCTAGCTGAAGGAGCATGTGGCTGACAGAGCGCAACAACAGCGACATGGCCAGCAGTGCTATACCACCTGCCCCATTCGATCCAGCTAGTGAGGACTGGGTCTCATATAAGGACAGGTTTCAAATGTTCCTAGAGTTCAACAACTTCAAAGATGCCATGCCCAGCAAGAAATGAGCCGTTTTTTCTAATGCATTGTGGACCTGCTGTTTTTAAAATGGCTAAAGCACTAGCGAAACCAGCTAAAGTTAAAACGATGGATTGGGACACCCTTGCTCCCATCCTGCACAACCACTACGCCCCAGCAGTACCAACTCTCATTCGCAGACACGAGTTCTATCAGAGGGACCAGCGTGAAGGTGAGAGCGTCGGGGATTTTGTGGCAGACCTGAGAAACCTGGGCAGTTTATGTGGCTTCGCCAATCTCGAAGAAGCCATGAGAGACCGAATCGTCCTTGGCCTTAGAGATCCAACTGTCCAGAGCAAGATCATGGCCAAAGGAGACATCTCACTTGCAGATTCCATAGCAGACGCCACCGCAGCTGAAGCCACTCATAAATCAGCAGCACGGATGCGCCGAACCAGCGGGACCAACCACCAACCCACCAACGATGCTGGGAAACCTTCAGACAAGTACACATTGGCCACCCATCATGAAGATGTCGAGTCATCCTCAGACAGCGAGGAGGAAGAAGTCCACAGACTCCAGTCAGAACATGAGCAACGGGACCAGCGAGGTCATAAATCCAACTACCAATGCACTGGATGTGGTGGAAACCATCCTCGATCCGAGTGCAGATTTTTAGACGCCATTTGTCGTTTTTGCAAAAAACATGGGCATATTGCTAAAGTATACAGAAACAAAAGAAACTCCAGCCCCAGACGGAGAGGAAGCAGCCCAAAAAAGAATGATGGCAACTCCACCACACAGAGGGACCGCCCTAGCAACCAGTGGAACCAGTACAGCAGACCCCGAAGGTTTAATGGCACACCCAGATGAGAAGAGGCTCATCAAACCATCACCATTGGCCATGCTTCATCGCTAGATGCAAAGAAAATCCGCGTAAAGGTCACCATCGAAAATAAACCTTGCATCATGGAAGTAGACTCTGGGTCCTCACTATCCATGATATCCTGGAAAACCCTCAAGCAACTGATTCCCAACATCCGATGCCAAGACCTCAGCAGCCAAAGACTCATCCTGAAAGATTATCAAGGCAACCGGATTCCAGTTGCAGGTACTAGCCATTTCCAGGTCTCTTTCAAAGGACATAATGCAATTCTACCACTCACCATTGTAGGCAGAAACCGGCCAAGTCTATTGGGCCTTCAGATTCCCATTGGGAATTGGAATTGCTAGCATCCATCATACTGACGACGATGACTGGGAAGCAACCCTCGTCCACGACTTCTGAGAAGTTTTCAGTGAAAAGTTAGGCAAGTACAAGGGGTCCCCTATTTCATTTAATCTTCGCCCTGACATTGCGCCCATTCGTCTAAAGCCACGCCGAGTTCCCTTTGCTCTCAAACCCAAAATTGATGAGCAACTGGACAAATTAATTGCACAGGGCATGTTAGAGCCCATTGACCATGCCCGATGGGAGACACCAATTGTCACCCCCATAAAGCCTGACGGGTCCTTGAGAATCTGTGGTGACTACAAGGCCACCCTCAATCATGCACTGCAACAGAGCGCCTATCCGGTACCAGTCGTTCAGCATCTCCTACATTCACTTGGGGGTGGCAAAATATTCGTGAAACTAGATCTGGCCCAAGCGTATCAACAGCTGCCAGTTGATACCGAAACTGCAGAAGCCCAAACTATAGTTATACATTTGAATGTAACAGGCTCCAGTTTGGAGTAAGCGTAGCCCCAGGCATTTTTCAAAGCCTGATGGAGAGACTATTACAAGGCATAAAAGGGGTCATGCCCTATTTTGATGATGTACTGATAGCAGCCCCAACAAAAAGTCAATTAGAGAAACGCCTCAGAACAGTCCTACAAAGGTTCAAAGTTGCTGGCCTCAAGGTTAAGAAGGAAAAGTGCCAGTTATGCACAGAAAGGGTGGAGTTTCTGGGCTACCTTCTTGACAAACAAGGAATCCACCCTACAGAAAAGAAATTGGCAGCTATCAAAAATGCCCCAAGACCCAAAAACAAAACTGACCTTCAAGCCTTCCTGGGACTCATTAACTTTTATAACATTTTCCTACCCCAGAAGGCGACTGTTGCTGAACCCCTTCATAGACTCCTCGATAAAAGGGCCTCCTGGATTTGGGGACGATGGGAGGAACATGCCTTCCAGCAAGTAAAGGACCTCCTCACCTCTGATGCAGTGCTAATACAATATAATGAGACACTCCCATTGACTGTTACTTGTGATGCCTCATCGTTTGGGGTGGGGGCCATCCTGAGCCATGTCCTACCAAATGGCTCAGAAGCACCAATTGCATTTTTTTCAAGAACTTTGTCAAAAACAGAAAGAAACTATAGCCACCTAGATAAGGAAGCCCTTGCTATTGTCTCTGCAATTAAAAGGTTTCATGAATATGTTTATGGGAGATCATTTTCCATTATCACGGATCATAAGCCATTACTTGGCATTTTGGTGGGCGACAGACCAACCCCACACATTCTTTCCCCCAGAATGACGCGATGGTCGGAATTCCTAGCTGCCTATGACTATCAACTAAAATATCACCCGGGAAAATCTATTCCTCTCGCTGATGCCTTGAGCCGCTCTCCACTACCCGAACCACAGGAAGACCCAGCTCCCATGCTCCCAATATTACAAATTGAGACACTTCCCTCACCTCCACTAACGGCCCAGGACATCGCCTTTGAAACCAAAAGAGACTTATGTTTGGCATGAGTTCTTGACTGGGTGGAGAGGGGATGGCCAGAATACAAGCCCAAGGAAACCTTTAAACCATTCAAAAACAGACAGACAGAACTTTTCTCACAAAGAGGGTGTGTTTTATGGGGAGACCAAGTCATCATACCAACTAAACTACAAAAGAAAGTCCTTCAAATGCTACACGATGGACACCCGGGCATCGTGCGTATGAAAGCGCTGGCAAGAAGTTATGCCTGGTGGCCTGGTATAGACAAACAAATCAAAACCTGGGTCGCCTCTTGTAACAAATGCCAGGAAAACCACTCAGCCCCACCAAAAGCTCCACCAGCAGAATGGGAAACACCGATAGGTCCCTGGTCGCACATTCATATTGACTTTGCGGGACCTACTAAAGGACACACTTTCCTAATAACTGTAGATGCGTATTCTAACTGGCTCTAAGTCGATAAAATGAAAACAACCACTACTGAGGCAGTCATCAAGAAATTGAACAGATTCTTTGCCACACATGGCCTACCTGATGTCCTGGTTTCTGACAATGGGCCCCAATTTACTGCCTTAGCCTTTGAACAATACCTAGCTGAACGGGGCATCTGACACGCACTCACATCGCCGGCTCATCCAGCGGTGAATGGTAGGGCTGAACAAATGGTTCAGTTCACAAAGAAAACCCTACAGAAAATGGAACAAGGTAACATCCACGATAAAATCACTAGAATGCTGCTTCTCCAGCACATTACACCCAACAGCACGACTAACAAGAGCCCAGCTGAACTCCTGATGGCCAGGAAATTCAGATCGCCTCTAGACCGCTTGCACCCTGCCTACACCCAGGAAAAGCCCCTGGGTTCCAGCAGCAAGCATCGCGCCTTTAAGGTAGGAGACCTTGTATTTGCAAAAAAATTTTCAGGGGATCCCCTCTGGATTCCTGCTCAAATAACTCAAGTCACGGGTCCCCACTCCTACCATCTACTGACCACTGATGGTAGAGCGTGGAAATGTCATATTGACCAGCTATGCTCCAGACTGACCACAACTTCCATCCCTGACCCCAGCCTCGACACCAGGGGGGAGGGGAAGCCATGAGCCTGGAAATAGAATCAACACCTGTTCCTTCAGAACTAACTCCGAGATCACCACACCATAGCTTGCAATACTCACCAGCTGTAGTTGAACCTGGGCAGACGAACACTTCACCAAGAAGCAGCAGCCAAGCAGGTTCAGCAAGCCCGGGGAGCCATAGTGGTAGCAACGAAGCTGTGAACTCAATCACCCTGAGGGCATCAGAGGAGAGTCCCAACCATGGCACCGGTTCACCGTTCCAGCTAGACCCAGCAAGCAGTCCATCTGAACCCGAATTTGAACACGGTCAATTGGAATCACGTAAGTCGGGTAGACAGGTACGAAGACCTGCCTACCTGCGAGACTATATAACTCCACCCCTTAAACGAACCGAGAGGGGAGTGGTGTTCCGGACTAGCAGGCTCGAAAGCCTGCAACTCTGATTGGCCCACGAATAGCAGATCATGATTGGTCACCGCAGACTGATCCGATTGGCTAGTAAACGGGCTGCCGCGATTGGCCCAGCCAAGAGCGGCAAACTCAAATCGCCTTCATTGGCTACCTATATAAGGGGCTGCTGTGGCTGGGATGCTTCACTCAGATCTGAAGTCACTAATAAAGAGCTGTTGTTGTTATCTGAGTCTTGCCTCCATTCTTGAACCATCCTCCCAGATCTAACAATGTGGGAGCACTGTGCTACTTGCATTTGCATGGCATCAGCATTCTGTCTTTGCTCAAGGAGCCTGGCTGAAGCTTCCTGTGCCAGTCGCACTTCAGTGCTTTGAAGGTTTGTGCTCAGCCAAAGAGTGGGGGCCATCAGGTGGGTGAGCCATGTGGGCAGCACAGCTTTGTGTTCCTGTGCAGCCTGGATTAACTGCTTTGGGGGGGACATTTTTCTGGGGACCACCAAAATTTTCTCACAGACCACCAGTGGTCCCCGGCCCACTCGTTGGTGACCACTGCTTTATACCACATATACTTGTCTAGGGCAAATCGTATCTTCCCCATTTTCTCTTCATAGTTGGACTGTTTTCATCTGTTTTAATGCCTTCTATTTCCTTCTGTCATCTATTATTCACATCCCACACCATACTACTTTATTATCTTCAATTCTTCATTCTCCAAATACCATTAGTCCCTACTGTCCTCTCTAAATTTCACCTTTCTTCCTCTCTGGACAATGACAATGGGATCATTTATTTCTCATTTGGGAGATTTGCCATCTTTATTTCCTAAATAAGCAGCCATGCAAAGACCAGAGTTAGGTAGTAAAATGTCATTGTTTTTCATTCTAAAGTACTACTATAAATAAGCAGACCCGAACATCATATTATACTTTAAAAAGTGACCTCTGTATTTCTCCCAATCTCCCCCCCCCCCACTTAACCCTAGAGAGTAATTATATGGATAGGAAGAAATTTCCTACTGCTCTGTAGGATAAATAGAGGGTGCAGGGAGCTGCTTTCAGACATAAGATTCTGTTATAGTAACCCTGTAATGAAAGTAGGTTTAGTATTTATTACATTGGTTTCCAAATCTGATTTACTTTGATTGTAGATGGATGGTTGCAGATTGGGAGCTATTATGGCATTCCCAAGTGACAGGGATAATCACTGCTAGACCAGATGAAGTGGCTGCTGAACCATATCCTTGGAAGAGTTCATACATAACACTGTCTTCTGCCAGAGTTTATGGGGAGAGTTTATGACATTTTGCAGCTGGTCAAAGAAGAGCAGCCATGGAGAGGAAGGCCCTCAGCCAGCTGGAGAGAATTCTCTTGTGATGTTTATGAACTTCAAAAATCTTGGAAAAGTTGGGCCATCCTGGGAATGACAAACTTCAGGTTTGTGCAGGATATTTTTGCCCTCACTGTAGAACAGTTTGTATTAGCAAATATTGTGGCTATGTTGGGATTTAGTACTTGTTTTAGTTGATGACAAATTTGAATTAAATTTTACAAAGTTGTACAAACAACACTTTAACATTGTAGTTAATTGCAAACACTTATTCCTATTGTTAAAACTATCAAATATTTAGGAAGTAGAATTAAACAATATTTTGCATTCCTTTTGTTCTAGAAATGTGATGAGTTTTATTAGTGCTATTTTTGTCTAGTAATTGATCACCCTCCCACTTCTCAAATGCTTCTAGTGAAAAACATTTAACATCTGTTGTTAACCCTTTGAAGTTGGATCAAGATGCTGGATTAATATACTGTATTAAGAACAAAGTTCTCAGAGAATCCAAAAATACAGGAAACACAAAATCACTAATATAAAATGTAAATGTACTACTAAGAACTTAGCAGAAGTTCAGGATTCATACTGGATTGTGTCTTAGTCTCTCTAGGATTATCTCTAGTACTAATCTGTGCTATATTTCAGAATTAATAACATACAATAAATTATTTTGAGAATATTGATAACATATCTCTTGACTGACTCATTGATGTGAAAGAATTGGTAGAATCATGCAAGATGGACATGGCAAGTTTTAAGTATTTAATTGTATATTTGGTATGTTTTCTGATAGAATGGATAAAATATTAGCAGTTGATTTTTCCCATAAATGTTACTCATGTAATTCTCTTATAAATGAAGAGTTAGAAGTATATAATGAATAACTTCAAAATCTGTAGATGGTAGGTTCAAGAATGACCAAAATTAGGATAGGCACTGGAGGATAAAGTATGCCACATGGTTCAACTTGATCACTGGCAATGTTCAGATAAAATCTATTTGTCTCTCTGGTCAGCTTCTGCATAGGGAATATATTAGTAGGGCGTGAGAGAATTAATCTTTTGTTAGCTTCAAGCAGCAATTGTGGGCTGGCATTGGCCTGAGATCTAGGACAGTGGAAATTGACAACACATTTGCACTCTGAACATGAATCCAGACTAGAACACAAAAAAGGATATTTGGTTCTTGCTACTTTTCGAAGAAGAACACTGCAAACATGTCTTTATAGTTTCTTTGATAGATTTCCAGGGTTCTTTTGTTTTTTAAAAATCTCAACTTTATGCAACAAGAGTAAAATATTAAAATATTAATTTTAACACTTTTAGTACATTTTAATGAATGCAACAATATGTGTACGAAGTTCACATTTTCATTAGAGCAATAAAAATAAAATAAAAATCAGGGGTGGGATTTAAACTTTTTAACAACCAGTTCTGTCAGCATGGCTTAGTTGGTAGGTGTGGCTTGGTGGTCATGTTATCGGCTGTGCGTGGCCAACTCAATATCACTCACATCAAGGCATGCATCTCCTCGCCTGGCTTCTCATGACTGTGGAGATGCTGCAACAGTTGTAAGTGTGAAAAATGGACATAAGTCACTTTTTTCAGTACCATTGTAACTTTGAATGGTCACTCCACACAAGCAAAGTACCAGCAAAGGAGGGGAAAAAACTCCAGAGAACTTCCCAAGACAGGAAGTCTAGTCCTGCCAAGAATGTAATAAGGATTAACAGTGAGGCAGTTTCTGTAAGCAACACCAGAATGTTTCCTTCCTGCCTTCCTTACAGGATTAGGCCAGT